GCGAAGCTAATCCGACCATCGCCTTCACCTTACTGTGCGCCAACTTTGTGCGTCCGGAAGGCGAGTGGCGAGTGGAGGATTGTCCACGATTTCCGAGGCCTCAACGCGAAAGTTAGAGTACCGGCTAATCCAATTCCGCGCAAGGATGAAATTCTCTGTGCAATGTCACGTGGACGGCTTTTCTCAGCCTTATATTAACTGTGAGGCTTCTTCCAAGTCAAGTTACGTGAAGATTCTATCCCCTACACCGCATTAGCGGTGCATGATGGGCTATTCGGATACTTAGTGACGCCCATGGGGATCTCCAGAAGTCCTGCCTGTTCCAACCGTTTAGTTAAATCCGTTTTCAAGAACTTCGACAGTTTTTGTCGCACTTATTTTGATGACTTGTTTGTCTTCACTCCTACCGATTCAGTGGAAGAGCACATGATTGCGCTCGGGAAGGTGTTTATTCGCTGCGCAGAGAAGCAGCTGTTCGTAAAGATAGAGAAGTGTGTGTTTTGTGCACGCGAAATACCATGCTTGGGCGATATCGTGGGGGTCGAAGATGTCAGAATTGACCCTGCAAAGGCTTCAGCCATCCGGGACTAGCCGCTCCCCAAGCCCAAGAAAGACTTACAGTCGTTTATCGGCACATGTCTGTACGTGAGTCGTTTCGGTGCTGGGTTCGCCGAGTATATTACTTTGCTCATCGAGGCGGTGAAGAACAAACGGCCGAAGGACTCAATTACCCTGACAGAGTAGCAGAAACAAGCATTTGCGGCCCTTAAGGCAAAGTTGTGATCGACTTCTACCCTGGCTCATGCTGACTTTGCGAAGGACTTCCACGTCAGTGTCTATGCATCTGACTTTGCGATCGGTGGCTACATTTTCCGGTACGGTGACGCTGGTCAAGAACGTATTATTGCATTTGGTGGTCGTAAGCTCTCTCACGCTGAGCTCATTTACCCAACTCGAGAAAAAGAACTGCCCGCGGCACTTCACGCGACGCGCACCTGGAAGGTCTATCTACTCGGCAAGCCTTTTTACTTAATAACAGATCACAGGACGATCGAGAGCCTTTTGCAGCAGCAAACGTGCTCACAAAAACTTGATCGATGGCACAACGAGCTGGCACTCTTCCAACCACGCTTCAAGTGGGTCGCAGGAAGTACTAACATCATTGCTGACAGTGTTTCAAGACGTCCAGATTGGACGGATGGCACAAACCGCGCTATTAGTCT